CAGAGAAAGTGACAATCTCAGATTGCTCTCCTCCCCCCCAGCTCTTTTGCCTTCAATGACAACAGAGGAAGGTTATCAGCTGCTCAATAGGGCTTTTCCACAGAAAATAAATCCCCCTTTCTCCCTGGTTACACAATCTCATTCATTTCTTGCTAAACCGTTTTATAACATTCATGTCAAATCTTTCTGCAGCTGCTACCTCATTCCTAATCCTCCCCATTCTTTGTCTTTTTCAGCAGGGCTACCCTTTTTAAGCAACTTGAACCCTGCCATGTCACTGTCTGTCTTTTTCTCTTTGCTGGCTGAAAACTCCAAGCACAAAGAATACATCAAAATATACATTTAGCAGCTGCAAATAAGAGACACAAACTATTCTCCTCTCAGGGAAAAGAAGCAAGCTCTATGCATTTTCAATACTTTTGTGCAACGTGGAGCGGGGGTGGTTCATTGCCATTTCTAGGCAGCTACTGAAGTTTGGAGAATGGATTATTCTGAACCATATTGTAGGCAGCACAAGTAGTGTCACTTAAAGCTAAGGTTGACTGATGCTTTCCATTATAAGGACCTGTTTTCATTGCTAATAATTTTGCCAAACATAAACCACTCAGGTTGAAATTTTCCATGATGGGTGACTGTCTCAGGCGTTTATGTTGTTTTTCTTAGTTTCAGCTAAAATGGTTCAGTCATTTCCAAGAATGAGGCTCTAAAGATTCCAACACTGATGTTGACCCATGAGAGGTTGAAGGGGTGTTGGTCATTATGGTACCACACAATGGAATTTGTGTTCTCAATTTGTAAACTTAAAAAAAAAATCTTAGAAAATTACACACACACAAATGTTAAAAGAACATAAAGGTTGCAAAGTCAGGCACTCAAAGGTTAGGAAATGACTGAATTAGAGGTTGCCTGTGCAACCTTAATTCAGCCTTCTTGTGAACACACATTATGATGCAGTCTTTAATTACATGATCACATATTATTTCTCTCACAGGATCGCTGCCTTATTCAGTTCACAGGATGCATCCACTCTGGGGATGAATCAGGATTGTGTAGTGAAGGAGGCTGTTGCCTGTAAGACCCCCGCTTCATTTGCTGCAGAAACTGGAAGGTGTGTAGTGAACGAGGCAGGGTATTGCAGGAAGAGAAAGGAGGGTTTCATGGTTAAAGCAGTTGAATGTTGCCCTAGAAAGTTGAATTCTATCCCTGCCTCTACCACCTATTTGATGCTGGGCAAATTGTATAAACTAACATTTTCACTGGTGTCCACCGTGTGTTCCTTAATTTTTTGGGTACCCAAATTGAGACAACTGGGGTCTGATTTGCTGAAGTGCTAGCACTGACAGCTGCAGCTCAGCTAAAGGGAGCTCTGCTCTGAATATATAAAGTGCTATAAAATGCTAAGTATTCTGAAACAATCAGGTCCTAGGCATCTCAGATATAGACCCAAAAGGAGTTGATACTTTTGACAGTTCTGTGCATCAGTTCCCCATCTCTAAACCTGGGATAATATTACTTCATCTCACAAGGGCAAGGGCATTATGAAGATAAATTCATTAATGTTTGTGAAGCACTGGGATACTATGATGAGAGAACACCATAAGAAAACCCAAGAGGAAATCAATAATTCTCTTTGGTTCAATGTTTGGATGGTGTGCAGTAAATAATGCATGGAGTCACATGTTGAATGATGAGGATAAAGAGAAATTCATAGATTATAAAGCCAGAAGGGACCACTGATCATCTAGTCTGACCTTCTGTATATCACAGGCCATAGGACTTCCCTGAATTAATTCCTGTTTGAACTAGAGTAGATCTTTTAGAAAAACATGCAGTCTTGATTTAACAATTGCCAATGATGGAGAATGCACTGTGACCTTTGGTAAATTGTTCCAACAGTTAATTACCCTCACTGTTACATTTTTTCACCTTATTTCCAGTCTGAATTTGTCTAGCTTCAGCTTCCAGACATTGGATCTTGTTATATCTTTGTCTGCTAGACTGAAGAGCTGATAATCAAATTTTTGTACATTAACTACCCACTCAGTGAGCACCATCCAACCTATGCCTCGAATAGGGAAGGGGCCCTTTGGAAAAAACAGTTTGTAATCATGTAATTTAAAAGACTGTATCATAATGCACATGCACCAAGAGGGTCAAATTATGGTTGCACAAGGGGGCCACATTATGAATGCACAGGAAGCCTTAATTCTGGCATTTCCTAACTTATGAGAGCTAGTCTTCACATCTTCAACATTCTTTTATTGTAGGTTTTTTTATATATATAATTTTATCTACAACATTATCCCAACTACTATCCAACCATAAAGGCCAAATCCTAGATCCCAGGACATAGGCATGAGGGACAAGCTACACACTGGAAACCTCTGTCAGAGGCTGGGAGGAAGGAGTAGTCCTACTCCCCGTCCTGCATAATAGTCACAAAGGCACATTACAGCCACTACTGCAACCACAGGGCTGTAGCAGTCCTCACAGCCAGTGCACATCCATCCTATCCCACATAACTAGATTGATTACCCCCTTCCTGACACCCCACTTTGCCACTCCTCCTCTCCCTCTGCACTTGGTTGCAGGTTGCTCTTACAATGCAGAGCTCTGCAGAATGTGGTGCAGGGTCTCCAAATCCTATCTACCTCCCATCTGCACAGCTACTGAGCATCGTTTCTCTGGTTAAGGGCGTGCTGTGGCCAGGTGGGAGGGAACAGAGTTTGTCTCTCAGTATGCATTACTGTCCTCATCTTGAGCAGGAAACACATTCTTCTCCCCTCCTTCCAGATTAAAACATTTAAACGTGGCATGGTGGATCACAGCAATCTGAACAGAAGCCTTGTTTATTCATTTATTAAAAGAATGACCGAGATAGTTATACAGCTTCCTGGTTCTGAGGCCATCATCACACCTTGCAAAGGCCTCCAAGAACACTACAGTATACAAAAGATGAAGGGTTTTCTGAACAGCCTTTAGACTGGCTTTTCTACTGATCACCAATGGACTAACTTTCCTACCAGCATGTCTACACTATATTCTTTTACAGCTTTGTCTCTATCAAATAATGCTGAAGAGAAATGACATTTTCCACTTATTTGGTTGTAAGCTCTTTAGGGCAGGAACTATGTCTTCTTCATTTTCAGTGCCAAGTGAATCTCCGGCACTCAATACATACAAATATTTGGTACATTTTCAATAAATGACTCGGGCTTATGCCTTACCTATTCCCTAACAGGTCCTCAGCTTGAGTGAATCCTATTGTTCTATCCTTTCCCTAGTGAATTTTCCTTTGTTGGACCATTTGGTCTCCTATTGCTCTGATCAGCCATACCTTCGTTCTCAAAATACCTCCTCCTAAAGACCACCAGGCAGGAGGCTCTGTGGATTGCAGTTTGATAACCACTACATTAGAACAATGCATAGCCAGTTATAAAAATTAGCTTGTATAGCGGATGGAAGGGTTTTGTATGGCATGCGCTTGCCATTTCTTTTAGCAAATTTTGATGCCCTATAAGCACAACATCTGCAAATAGCTTAAAGTAAAAAAACAAATAAACAAAACCCTCTATAACTAAGGCATCAGCCAGACTGTCCTTTTGGGGAAAATCCTCAGCTGGTATAAACTGACATAGCTCCACTGAAGTTGACACCAGCTGAGGAGCTGCCACTTTATGTATAGTAAGCTCCAAAATTGTTGCAATGAACTCATTCTCCTCACAACCTAAATGCACACAGAAATTAAATATGGTTTGTCAACCTTATACAAATGAATCAGGCTTTGTGCCAGTTGATTCACAAGCACTGTTTGAAAGATTAAAATAAACACATCATTACACTAGCTCTCTAAATCTGTCCACAGCTCAGAGGATAAATGCCTTACCTCATTATGTTTAAATGTTCTATCTCAATCTGGGTTAAGAACAACCAGAGACAGTGGACTACCAACATGCTGTACTGTGACAAGAAAAGAGATGCTACTATAGATCAGGATATGGGCCATGTTTGGTCTTCCATCTTCCTTTATTGTGTCCTCCATTCCTCACCTCACTTCCTTCCAAGCAGCATCATTTTATCCATTATGAATATGTGTCAAGTACAATAGAAATTATTCCTTTTCCTAACACGCAGCATTTTTGTTTCTCAATTCAATGGTTTTTGTGCATTACAAACCAATTCCTATCTGCCTTGCTCCGCCAATAGTCCCACTGATGTCAGCAAGTAAAGTAAGCCAAGATTTACTCTGTAAATCTAAATTAACCTTTCAGGAACAAATCTTGTAAGATTTACTCAAGCCTAACGTAAGCAAAATTTCCAGATCTTACATTATCATATTGAAGTCAATGGGAGTTTTGCCTGAGTAAAAACTGAGGCACGCAGGATCTAGTCCAGGGATTGGCAACCTTTGGCACGCAGCCCATCAGGGAAATCCGCTGGTGGGCCAGGATGGTTTGTTTACCTGCAGTGTCCACAGGTTCGGCTGATTGCACCTCCCACTGGCTGCGGTTCGCTGTTCCAGGCCAATGGGGGCTGCGGAAAGCAGCAGCCAGCCTATCCCTCGGCCCACGCCACTTCCTGCAGCTCCCATTGGCCTGGAACAGTGAACCGCGGCCAGTGGGAGCTGCGATCAGTTGAACCTGCAGACGCTGCAGGTAAACAAACTATCCCGGCCCACCAGCGGATTTCCCTGACAGACCGCGTGCCAAAGGTGGCCGATCCCTGATCTAGTCCGTAGTGTATAAAATGGGATATACGCACTGTGATGGGCACTGGATAAAAAATAATTGATGGCTTCACAATGGTTTCTAAATTATGAATGCCGCTGGGCATTTAAAAATATTTTGCAGATGATTATCAGTGCCAATTGTATCAGCAACTCCAATGGCAGCAGGTATTTTAATATTCTTTGTTTCCGAAATATTCTAAGATGCTTTGATAACAAGTTTCCATTTAACCCAAGAACATGGTTTGGCATGATTTTCCTGGCTAGTGCTTACCTCTTTCAACCTTTCCAGCTCATTTTGCAGTGCCTGTTTGGATATTTCCACCTCAATGATCTGCTGCCGAAGGATTTCATTCTCATCTTCTGCTTTAACACGTTTCTCCTCCACACTCTCCAGTTCATGGTGCAGTCTGACAGATACATCTTTGGCTACCTGGTTAGAATGGCATAAACATCACATATGAAGTCTAACTACCTGAACATGCAATATATATACACACATTACAATCTTGGATAATCAAGGGATCTTCAATTTAAATTATTAGACCCAGTTTTGAATACTCAAACCATAGTTCTTATTCATTTACATTCATGTTTCCAATGGAGAAAATGAAGATGGGAACTTTAGACCTATCAAAGCATTTCCCTTGACACATCAAGCTCAGAAACCCTAGGGATAGCATAATAGTAATAATAATAAAAATGCAGGAGTTATACTGTTAAAATTGACAGATTAGCATTTTGATCAAAACAGCAACTGTGTGGCAGCCTCATCTACCAGGTCTTGCTGCATCAACAGCAGTCAGTACTAGGTAAAAGTGATAAGAAAACCAAAAAATAAAGAAGACTACACAGGTTTGCTAGGTTCAACTTAACATGGGCAACGATGAATATTTCCCCCAAACATATTTAGAAAAGTGAAGCTGATTTTGAACTGCAATACAATAGCAGCTGCAGGAAGCTTTTTATTTTGCACGTTCTAGTTCCAGGATAACTGTGTGCTGTTTTTACAAAGCTTAACGTAAATGGAAACGTTTCCACAAAATTATTTCAATATAAACTGTTTATTTTTATAGGAATGGTATTTTTCAACAGTGTCTGCAACCCAAACATGGTATCAAACTGCTAATGGATGATCACCATGAATTGGAACTGACTAAAAGGAAACATGATTTTAATTAGTCTATTTTCAATTTTCCAAGCTAAGTGAAATGCAAAAAAAAGGAAATAAACAGCATAAATGTTGAAAATATATTAGATTTTTAAAATTTAGATACAGTATTACTAAGATTTTTGGTAATACAGAAAGAAAATCATTTTTACAAGAAATCTATGAAAATAACTCACGAAGAACTATTATGGCTGAGGTGGGTTTGAGGATCAGTTCTCACTCCCTAAAATGCCTCATGCAGTTGGCACAATACAAAGCCTCTGACTGCTAAACTCCTACCACTTGCCTTCTCATGGCAGAGAAGTTCTTAACTGGAAGTGGGAGTGTAAAAGGTGGGGGTGTTTGGCACTTTATAGCCAGATTGCTCTGGGCAGGTGGGGCTCATTAGATGTGGCAGGCAGTCCATCTGGGAGAAGAAACCTCAATTTCAAACCAAGAACGTCAGCCCGGCCAGGTGCTTTGTAAAAGTTGTGCCAGTCACACATGCTCTATGGTCTTCGTCTTCAGAGAATATATCAGTACAATACTAGGGCATCAACTGGAAGCAGCATGCAACTGCTTCACCTGATGGCGATAAAAAATGGGCAAAGGCTATTGTATTCTGGCCACATGCAGCTGAGGGAGCATTGACTGAGATGGCTGGGTCACTTGAGATGATGAGATCTGGGATATGTTGGCCAGAGAGGACAAGAGCTAGTAATCATGGGACAAAGACCATGAGGGAGACCCAGAAAAAGGTAGTTTGAGACTCTGAAGAAGAACATGAAGGAGGTTGATGTCAGCTTGGAAGATGCTCTTGACAATAACACTTGGAGATGAACAACAACAGCCGCCAACCCTGATTGACAGGATAAGGCAAAGGTGAAGAAGATATAAATGTAACTTGATAAGTGTTCCTTTCATTTGAATTTGTGTATAGTTTTCATTTAGTTAAGTCCCTTTTTCATGACGTTAAGTTGCATATTTGCTCTCTGCCAAGAAATAAGGACACTGGGTCTGATATTTTGAGAAATACAAATAATTGTTTTATGTTACTTTTATATCTGTTATTTTGACCAAAGACTAAGATTGTGTCCTTTCACTTTTTGCTATGAATATATTCCATACAAGTACCTTACCCACCTTTAAATCTTGCTCCAAACTTCTAATGAGCTCTCCATCCACTTGGCCTGTCTGCGCAACTTTCAAACTTTTCTGTTCTGCTTTCCTGAGACGATACTGCAGGATGCGGCAGTTCTTGTTTGCACGGTCCAGCTCTTTCCGGAGTTCCTGCAGCTGATAAACATCTTCCTCTAAATAACTGTCACGCATCTCCTCCATTTCAGCCCGAAGTTCATCCAATTCATCCTGTGAAAAGTCAAAACACCTCTCCATTATATCTCTAAATCTCATCCAGGAGAATAAAAAAGAAACTTGCTTGTCAAGATAAAATATCAAAAAGGTGATGTAGATTCCAATATGCAGTTCCAGATGTCACGGGAATATCAATATTATCCCTTACTAGAATAGTTATGTTGAATTACATTAATGAATGTCTGTTCTATTTGTTTTAATTGCCATGGTAATTAAGAATGGACCAGGGTTACCAGGATGTGTATCTGTCTCCTGAAACCAATAACACCTTCCCCTTTCCTTCCCCTAATGAATTAAAATGAAATTTACATAATAATTAGCCATTATCTTAGCTGATTGTTTATTTCATCAGAATTATAGCAAACCTACTTAAGCGCCTGAACTTCTCTGTGTGATGTCTTTATAATAGAGAGTGCTTTGAAGAAATAAAATGTTCTTTCCTGCTTTAATAACTTTAATAAATCTTTGCAACATGAACTTTTCAATTTACAGCCAAATAATCAACTGTTCCACATCAGAATGCTTTATGTCCAAGTCTTTTAGTGCATGCACATTGAATTCCCAGTCAGTTGAAAACCCCCTCCCTCACCTATGCAGGGGGTGCGCACAGACACACTTGCCAATCCCAGAATCACGTGGTCAGAAAAATATCTGTGTCAACACGAATGTAAACAGGTCATGCCGTCCCTAAAATCTTTTAATTGTCCCAATTCTAAATTATACCAGGAGAGGAACATGCCCGCTAAAGTCAGATATTAAGGTTTACAGCAGGGTAAACCGCTTCTGGAAGAGGATAAGCTCTATCATTCCCAGTCATTTAATCTGTGCGTGATTGACGCTTTTGAGTTAAAACTCTTATATAGGCCTTCCAGCTCAGGGTATAGGCCATTAAATTACTACATGGTGGCTCAGGGGATCTCTACAGCTCTATTATTAATGAAGTTTAAAATAAGAATGGACTCGTGCCAAGGCAAAGAGCAAGGACAAGAGATGTTCTCCACCATAAAATCCTCCAGAACGACTGATACAGCTGCAGTATATTATTAGCCAAATCAAAAAGGCATAGTTATGTATTTTAATGAGCAACAGAATCAAGCATTATTAGCAATATTCACAGGAAAAAACTGTTACATAATATGTCTGCAGTATTTTCAGAGTTGTCTCCTGCCTGCTTTTAGCTAATAATTAAATTTCTTGCTTCTAAAACATGCACAAGCTAAAGCAGATGACATCCTTCTTGTTCCCCTTTCTAAGTTTTCAGTTCCTACTCTTTTTTTCCACACACACACCCCAACACACACATCTTATGTGACTTGTCTTCTTATGCCCCATCCTGCAAACACTGTTGCACAAGCTTAATTGTACACATGGATGGTACTATTCACTTCAATGGAACTACTCACATGTGTAAAGTTGAGCATGTTGGTAAGTGTTCGCTGGATCGGGGTCTTAGATTGTAATCTCCCTGGGACAGGGATCTTGTCTATACATGTATTTGTACAGTGTCAATCACAATGGGTGTTCAACACCTTTTATTTTGCACGTTCTAGTTCCAGGATAACTGTATGCTGTTTTTACAAAGCTTAACATAAATGGAAACATTTCCACAAAATTATTTCCATATAAACTGTTCATTTTTACAGTAATATAAACATCAGTAACTATCATATTGTTCATGTCTTACTAAAAATTCTGCCAGGGGTTCTGAAGCAGTGCTCACTAGCATGGAAGTTATCCAAACCTTGAAAGGGGTGTACATGTCCCCCTTTCAAATGCAGGCTAGAATGGAAGTAGAAAGGTAGGGTTGTGACCCAAACCTTCCCACAATGTTTCCCTCCCCTCCCTCCTTTCACTTACCTAATACCCACAAGACCCAAGGAGGAGCAGGGAGCATACTCATCAACAGGATCCTGACCAGCCCTTGAGCTGGAAAAAAGAGGTGGGAGCTCCTTTGTCTTCACCTCCACCATCAAACCCAAGATGCCTACACAGGAGCTAGCCACACACTGGCCTAGTTGGCAATGTCCCTTTAAACTCAAACATAACTGAAAATTATCAAGTTACCCTAACAAGTGGTAACTCTGATGTGGGACTTACAGACTTGTCATGAATCACTCTGGATGCATCATTTTATGCCAGTCCCCTGCAACATGGCAAGATTAATGTATTTCTAAATCACTTCTAATAGGTGTGTGTTTAATCTAGCCTTGACTGTATCCAATGATAGTGATTTCACAACTTCCCTTGTGAATGAGGAGGTTAGTTAAACAGAAATTAAAAGGTACAGTGACTAGAGTGAAATCCCTGCAAGCTGCATGGACACTTTTCAAAGACACCATAATAGAGGCCCAATTTAAATGTATACCCCAAATTAAAAAATACAGTAAAAGAACTAAAAAAGAGCCACCCTGGCTTAACAACCATGTGAAAGAAGCAGTGAGAGATAAAAAGGCATCTTTTAAAAAGTGGAAGTCAAATCCTAGTGAGGTAAACAGAAAGGAGCATAAACACTGCCAAATTATGTGTAAAAATGTAATAAGAAATGCCAAAAAGGAGTTTGAAGAACCGCTAGCCAAAAACTCAAAAGGTAATAACAAAATGTTTTTTAAGTACATCAGAAGCAGGAAGCCTGCTAAACAACCAGTGGGGCCCCTGGACGATCGAGATACAAAAGGAGCACTTAAAGACGATAAAGTCATTGCAGAGAAACTAAATGAATTCTTTGCTTCAGTCTTCAGAGCTGAGGATGTTAGGGAGATTCCCAAACCTGAGCAAATCTGAGGAATTGTCACAGATTGAAGTGTCACTAGAGGAGGTTTTGGAATTAATTGATCAACTTAATAGTAACAAGTCACTGGGCCCAGATGGCTTTCACCCAGAGTTCTGAAAGAACTCAAATGTGAAATTGCAGAACTATTAACTATGGTTTGTAACCTATCCTTTAAATCAGCTTCTGTACACAGTGACTAGAAGATAGCTAATGTAAAGCCAATATTTAAAAAGGGCTCCAGAGGTAATCCCGGCACTTACAGATCGGAAAGTCTAATGTCAGTACTGGGCGAATTAGTTGAAACAATAGTAAATAATAAAATTGTCAGACACACAAGAACATAAATTGTTGGGCAAAAGTCAACATGGTTTCTGTAAAGGGAAATCACGTCTTACTAATCTATTAGAGTTCTTTGAAGGGGTCAACAAACATGTGGACAAGGGGGATCCAGTGGACACAGTGTACTTAGATTTCCAGAAAGCCTTTGACAAGGTCCCTCACCAAAGGCTCTTATGTAAATTAAATTGTCATGGGATAAGAGGGAAGATCCTTTCATGGACTGAGAACTGGTTAAAAGACAGGGAACAAAGGGTAGGAATAAATGATAAATTTTCAGAATGGAGAGGGGTAACTAGTGGTGTTCCCCCAGGGTCAGTCCTAGGACCAATCCTATTCAACTTATTCATTAATGATCTGGAGAAAGGGGTAAACAGTGAGGTGGCAAAGTTTGCAGATAATACTAAACTGCTCAAGATAGTTAAGACCAAAGCAGAATGTGAAGAACTTCAAGATGATCTCACAAAACTAAGTGATAGGGCAACAAAATGGCAAATGAAATTTAATGTGGATAAATGTAAAGTAATGCACATTGGAAAAAATAACCCCAACTATACATACAATATGATGGGGGCTAATTTAGCTACAACTAATCAGGAAAGAGATCTTGGAGTCATCGTGGGTAGTTCTCTGAAGACGTCCACGCAGTGTGCAGTGGCAGTCAAACAAGCAAACAGGATGTTAGGAATCATTAAAAAGGGGATAGAGAATAAAACGGAGAATATCTTACTGCCCTTATATAAATCCATGGTACACCCACATCTTGAATAATGCATACAGATGCGGTCTCCTCATCTCAAAAAAATCTCTCCATATGAGGAGAGATTAAAGAGGCTAGGACTTTTCAGCTTGGAAATGAGGAGACTAAGGGGGGATATGATAGAAATATATAAAATCATGAGTGATGTGGAGAACGTGAATAAGGAAACGTTATTTACTTGTTTCCATAATATAAGAACTAGGGGCCACCAAATGAAATTAATGGGCAGCAGGTTTAAAACAAATAAAAGGAAGGTCTTCTTCACGCAGCGCACAGTCAACTCGTGGAACTCCTTGCCTGAGGAGGTTGTGAAGGCTAGGACCATAACAGCGTTTAAAAGAGAACTGGATAAATTCATGGAGGTTAAGTCCAATAATGGCTATTAGCCAGGATGGGTAAGGAATGGTGTCCCTAGCCTCTGTTTGTCAGAGGGTGGAGATGGATGGCAGGAGAGAGATCACTTGATCATTACCTGTTAGGTTCACTCCCTCTGGGGCACCTGGCATTGGCCACTGTCGGTAGACAGATACCGGGCTGGATGGACCTTTGGTCTGACCCAGTATGGCCATTCTTATGTTCTTATGTTATGTTGGCCATTGGCCCAACTGTATATGTAGTTTTATTTCTCCCAATATTTAACCTAAATTTATCTTGTTCCACCTTAAGCTCGTTATCTCCCATCTTATCTTTGCTAACGAATGAGTATTGGATGCTTGTTCTCTTTACAACATCCTGGCCAAAAGAAGATGCATCCAACTTTGCTTAACTTTATTAACAACAAGGGCTTATCTTCATTGCAAAGTTAACTTGAGTTATAAATTGAGTGTTGCCACTAACTCAACTCTCTTTCACACACAAAAACCCTTACCAGGAGTATTTTTCAACCTGAACTAGCTAGCCCATCAAGGGATATAGGCTAAAGCTTCAGTGCGCACATCTCATCAGCTGCTAGCAAAATGATGTTGCAGTGTGGATACCTCCAGTCCTCCAATGCCTTCCCACAATACTCCCTGGGTGCTCAGAAAGGACAGACAAGTTCTCACACAATACATTGTGAAAGAACTCATAACATGGCTCAACATACTGCAGCATTAAGAATCACGGGATGTGCTCTCAGAAGTCTTAGGG